AATGAAATGGAGAACGCTAATAACGTGTTCTAAAAAATAATGAACTGCAGGTGCCATGTGGGTACAGTTTTATTTTTTCATTTGCCTTTTTCTATATTTCAATCATAAGGCCGAGTAAATAACAGAACATTATTAAATGACTCACAAGAATGTTTCATAAGAAAGTTTTAGTTGTAACTTTTTAAAATAATGATTGTATTGATAAAACAAGGAAATGGAAAACGATATTTCGTCACCGAAGAAATTCATCATTAGGAACCGCGAGATAGTTGATCCCATTTCAAACAAAATTGAAAAATAATAAGTCTGTATTTTTAAGTTTCTTAAAGGAAATAATATTCAAATTAAGGTTACTATGAAACTACTGTTATAATGCAATAAAGTTACAGAAACAAAATGATTTATGAGTGCTTTGCCTTCTTGCAACCGGATGGTCCAGGATTGTCAGATACAAATTCATCGATTCTTGAAATTGGATTATCTTTTAATCTAAATGGTCTATGTATGACGGTATTGGTTAATTTCTTATTTTCGACTCTGTTTATAATATATTTTTTTTCTCCTAGATACTAGTTTAAACAGTGACAGCCAATTATTTAAATATTTTGCGTGATAGGTATAAGGTTGAAAATTCCAAATCGCTTATGAATATATTTTTTATTTCTTGAAATAGATTTGCAACACTTTAGCCTTAATTTTGCAATGCAAAATTTGTCATAGACAATGTACAATCATGTGTGTTAAACTTGGAGAGTTACAAATTTGCATTTACTTATAGGAAGGCATACAGATGGCTCTGTAGAATTTGCAAAACTTTTCTAAGTGTGAATTGTTAATGGTTGTTAATAATTTTAGGTTACAAATTTATCAGGGCGTTATGAAAACTAATATTGACATTTGCAATCACTTTTTAAAACTTTTGCACTCATGTCGGTTTGCAACAGTTTTGCAATTTTTTTCATTTATGATATAAACAAAAACGCCATTTTACAAAAAAGTTTGAAAACTTTTTTAATTAATGTAAACTTTTCAAAATAGGGTGTCTTCATTGACCTGGCCTATTGAATATAACAGATTGTTTATAAATCCCAATCCGCTTTGGAAAAAGGTTTTAAAAGGTTGATATAAAAATGTTCTTATAGGAATCAACAAAATTCTTAACTGGACGAAAATCTCAGATGAAAAAAATTGGAATATCAAGAATGAAAAAATTTCTAATCATTCTCACCGCTCCAGTGCAGTGCAAAATTTTGCTAAAACAGTTACTAATGAACAACAATTAATTAAAATAACTGGACATTCCAAAAGCCTGTAAAGCCATATTTAAATCTTTATAACGAGTATCATTCAAATCTTGTGACAAATCACCGAGGTCAATCTTTGGATAATGAATCAGCTGTACTACCAACAACATTCATGTCATCATCAATAACAAAATTAGTAATGGAGTCAATGTTCGAACTGTTTTAAAAAGTGGGATCAGTAAATGTGACAAAGGAAGTACTACTTTGAGGGGACTTAAATTTAATCAATGCATTTTAATTTAATTTGTAAATTCACCCACATTACACACAGTCATCAATTAAGCCGACACAAAAATTCTGTTACCGTATGTAATTACTGCAATAAAAATTAAAACTCTTATTACCTGATCGTATTCTAACGACTGTGAAAAGAATGTAATTTATGATAATTTGTTTACCGTACGTTATCTAAGAATATTTTTAAGCTTATCTAAATATAATTAAAAAAAAAAACTCAATGGTAATTTTAATACTTTTAATTATTTTGCAAACGACTATCAATACTTAATGTTATTTAACGAACTTGACTGAAACGTTTATATAGGGTTATTCCTAAGGTGAAGATTCTTTCTTTAACTGTGTATAGAAATAAAACAACTTAAAAAAACTTGAATATAAAAAAAAACTCAAGGATTTAGATCTAGCGAGCTCGATGACCAAGCAACTGGTTCGTTTCGACCTATTCGCCTAAAGAAGTAATGACTAAAACCTTCAGCATTTCCCGACTAATGTTGTTTATTTTAATGACTTTTATACAAATGAATTGTGTCAAGCGTCATTTTACCATTTTACACACCTTAGTTCTATTTATCAAAAAAATCGGAAGACAGATAAGGAAGATCCTCTAATACACTAGAGTGCAAAATTAACTAGCCACACATATTTTTAGGTATTTCCTCATTCTTAGATAAAGCCGAATTTTTTAATTTATTTGAATTTTATTTGATGCATTATTAGGATGTTTCTTTATTGTTTGAACCTGTTTAAATGATTTTTACGTACAAAAGTACTATACAATCTTTTTAGCATTAATATGAAATAGTGCCTTAAATTAAACAGTTCTTCACAGAGTAGTCTGTGAAGAGTATTACAGGTTTACTTTGTCCGTCCGTCCGATGTCACGTTTTTTGTCAGCACGATAAGTTAAAAACAAAAATTGATATCAATTTGAAAATTTTAGAAAAAATCAAGCTTTATAAGAAGATGAAGAATATTGATTCTGAAAAAAAATCTGAAAAAATTTGGGTGTTAAGGGGAGCTAAAATATTTAAAAAAAGCTAACAATAATATCAACTTGAAAATCATTTATTTGGCAAAAATCAGGCTCTATAAAAAGACAAAGCCTATTTATTTAAAAAAATCTGAAAAGGGAATAAAAAATAGAAATCAAAAACGAATGAATGAATAAATAAATAAAAATGGGGATATAAGGGGGGGTTGAAATATTGAAAAAAATCCTAAATCGGAAACAAAAAACGATATCAAATTGAAATTTTCAGGAAAAAATAAGCTTTATAAGGGGATGAAGCCTATTGATTCTGATTGAAAATAGAGGTTAAAGGGGTCTGTTAAAAGTATAATATAGTAAAGTTTAGCTTTACTTTTCTTGTTTTCGTTTTTTTTCAAAAATTGAAATAAAAAAATAAGGCTAAAGACACATTAAGTCGAAAAATGCCGGGAAGTTTGCAACTGTGACCGGTATTCCCAAGAAACTTTTATTTGTATAAAATTCCACCTCAGACAGGAAGTCAGTTTTGAAAAATGCAAAACATGTAAACAGTAAACAAAAGGTAGTAAAATATAAACCCCGTTGACATCCAAAGACTAGATTTTCCCGAAAGTCACAAATTTGAAATCTGCGTCACTGTATATAAATGCATGAAAAAAAATCTTTTTAGATTCAGTATTAGAAAAATTATAAGAAAAAGTATATTTAATATTTCCAAAACAAGCCTCTGGAGAGTTTCGAGACAGAGTGTATAAATTCAAGAGCTGATATCGTTCAGATTTTAAGAAATTATAGCCACTTTTGTGTACTCTTCATTTGTATATTTGGGCGAAACTGGGATTTTACTAAAGGTGGAACAAAAAGAACTTGGCAGAACGAGAGACGAGAGTATACAATCCATAAAACACATCGATAGTGACGTAAAGAGACATATTAAAGTGCATGCATGTGGAAAACACGAATTATTAACGTTAGCTAAAAGACATGAAAGATAAACAAGTTATAAAAGTAATTTTAGAAAACTGACTTCAAAATCGTGCAGATGCCATCACCACATATTGACCAAATAGGACACCGTGTTAAAGAACTATCCCTGACCTCCTCCTTTTTTGAAGTCGGTTTTTTCATTATTGTAAATTTATTTGACATAAGCCTACTCTTCGAAATAAAATTGTTTTATTATATTATGTCGGTAATTTTTTATGATTTAATCATTTATTTATTTACGGAAAATACTGTTGGATGATTTAAAATATTAGGATGTCAATTAAACTATTTATTTAGGCTATACCCTGTGTTAAAATAACTATCTATAAATTAAATTAGGCGTGCGCCAAAGTTACTTTCCGCTTAAGAGCGCCAATAATGTCAAATTATGACAGCTTGCAGAAAACATTAACTTTGCAGTTACTTTTCAAGGCGCAATAGCCTACTTTCGATAGTGATCGTAGAAAAAATTATATACTGCAAATAATACGTAATAATATAATGGACTGCCACGTGCTCTTGAAAAATGTTTCCCCGTTTTTTGCAAGATCCGTACACTGTATAGTTGGACTAACTGTTAATAATTCCAATCGACGCATTTAAGACATATAAACCAAACCATGTCGCGTTAAAAAAAAATTGAAAACTATTTTAGACAACGACTAAAAACTACTAGACTAATTCATTCATTCATAATTAAGCCCTTATATGTATTGCAAGCATTCAGATTGTGTTTTATATTAGGCAAACAGAGTTGTCGCATCGGCTAGAAAGAGCGAGACTGCTGCTAAATTGAGCGGAGGATGGTTTGTGCGAGCTTGTTTATCTGAGGTGCGAGCTCACGTTTTATGAATTATTCCTGCTTTACACCGCTGCCACACTGTAAATAAATGGTGTACTTTCCTGTAAAGCACTTTCAGCTACTAATAGTTGCAACAAGAAAAAGACGTTAAACAGATAATAACTGGAAATGCAAATATACTTCCTTAATGTAAGCTTTTGTGCGTTTTAGAGCCTTATGTTAAGTCAATTCCGAATTATAACCATAAACAATCCATGTAACAAGTCTCCCCATAACAATTTGGCAGCTACGTGGTTAACACCGTAATACATACTTGAAATTCCGTTTTTGTAAACAAAATAAGTCTTGGTTCCTTCACCTAACATGACGACAAGCGATACGGAGTTTTAATGGTGTTAATATTTTGAACAATACTGTATAATTCGGTTTACTTCCCTCAAAAATCGAACAATGGCGCTTGGTCTATTTTATAGTAATGTTATCCAAATGTACGTACTAATTTAAGGTACGTATTGCATTTTCATGCCCTTTGAACCAAATTGAGTTTATTTCTGAATTGTTGTAAATTGACTAAAAAACTGTTGGACAAATCAAGCAAAAAACGAACTTATGACGCCAATAAAAATTGTAAAGATCGAAACTTTTTAGGCTCGCAAATCTACTGAAACGCCTTCCATACCAATTCGCTTTTGGTGCCTGTCGTTTTTTGGCCCCTCTTTCGGCACTCGATCTTCAACTGTTCTTTGTTCAAACTTAACAAAGCGTCCAAAATTTTTGACGGTTTTTCGTTAGCGGCAGTTAGCAGCGGTTGTTTAGACGGTGCTATAAATTTTACTGAGCTCGCATGCGCTTTGCGATTTTTTTTACCAGTCATAGTTGCTTCGGTTTTTGTTTAAAAATCTGAGAAAAATACTACGAAGAATTAATTGTGATTTAAGAGTTAAAAAAGAGGTGTTGGATACAAACGATGTTAATGATGTTAGCGGAAGGGTATATACAGGATGTTTTTAAAATACATGTACTTTTAAAACTGGTTTATGTTTAAACTTTCCTCCGAATGCACAAAATTAATGTTTTTTAAATGCTTTTAAATGCCGGTCTTAAGGGCGAAATCAAACTGTTCGACCGATCTTTACCAAGAAAAAAGAAAACAGCAATAAGAACGCCAGGACAATCACACATTGTTTCGAAAATAAAGAATAATGATGTAAGTGATACTGTAAAAGGAGCAATTAGAAATGTATTTTGTAATGTGAAGCAAGAGAACAGCAGATCACAATCAAAATACTAAATTGCACCATCGGTGCAATATTAACACCACTAGGAAAGTGGCGTCTCGAGAAACAAACTATAACTTAAAAATTGAATAAAATTCATTATGAGGTAGTGTTATATTTGAATTTTTTGTACTTTTTATATCTATCTATTTTGTGCCTTAACTCAAAATTAAAATTTTTCGAGTATTCAAACGGAAAAAGACGTGCAAAAAAAATTGTCGGAATTTTTTTGCGATGGCTGCGAAATTCTATTTAAATTGATTAGTAACATTGGACTTGAAATTTTGGTAGAACTTATATGAATGGTCGCTCTGATCGACAGTCTGATTTAGCCCTTAGTTTTGAAAATCGACTTTAAAATGTACGACATGTACGTATGCTACTGCCACAGCAACATTTTTATTGTATTTGATTAACAAAGGCAATGAGGCAAGCTTGTTACAATTTGACCAAATTGAATTTCATATGCATCACATCCTGCATCAGCCTACTGTTTTTAGACACAATGGAGAATGGACAAAAAAGGGGAGTATTCCTATAATATTTAAATTTGAGAATTTCATGGTAAAATTGGTGGAATTCCGTTTTTTTAACATCATATTATTACTAAGAGTATACATGTACGTCAAAAACATCCTTTGTAAATACGGTGTGTATATTCAGTAACACCTTAATTATATTTTCAATTTTTAATTTCTACCCAAACCAAAAATGAGATCAAATTTATAGGTATCTTAAATACAGAAATGAAATATGAATGGTACCCTACATATAAGTGCACGTTTTATAACTTTTCATAAAATAAAAAAAAAATTATTTTTAAAGCACTGCAGATTGCAATGTTAGAAATATCCTACATATCATTTTTCCTTGATTTACCTTATCTATGATTGTAAAATAGACTTCTACCTTTCAACACGATAGATGTTTAGTGTTAAAAATGCAAACAATTAACCAATTATAAATCCAATTAATTAATTAAAAGTCAAGTTTTAGAATAATAGACTGATTGTGGAAAACCATTGTGCTTTGTTAATATTAAATTGGATAGCTACTACCTTGCTACACTGTAAAAATAAATTATATAACCAATTTATTTTATCTCGTACATTATAGTGAGTAATTAACGAGTTTTTAATTTACAAACACCGTCTCAACACTGCCCTTTTAACACAAAAGTACAAAACATGACACATTACGTGTCATTAAAATATTTTCAAAAATTAATAAATTATACACTATTCGGAACTCATAGAGACAAAATGTTAGGTAGAGAGGAGTATTTAATATTAATCGCAAGGGAATCGATAGATTAATTCGTTCAATTTCTTCCAGCAAAATGATTAATTAATTAAAAAGTTAAAACTAACCTAAAAAATAAGTGCAGACGTTTAAATGCTAGCATGAAGCAGTGTCCACGTTTGAGAGGCCAATATATTAATAGAACTTTATTATATACAACTTACCTTTATAGTTTTATGGAAGAACACACACTTATTACGTACATTACCGTTAAAAAAAAGCTAAGAGAAAATTATGAACCGTGAACTTCCACTAGAAAACTGTCACGAAGATCAGTTGACAGTCGATGTCGATCCGATCACGAATCAAATCAACGCACACGAAACACATTAACGTCATCTGCCATTTCCCTTCAAATTCTATTTAATAGGCAACATTAATAACAGTAAGCTGTATTAACGGTTGCGTATTATTAAACATACAGCAAGTAAATAGAGAAATCTGATATTATGATGTTAATAAGTAGTTGAATAAATTCGTATGTACATACCAAACAAATTACGTACATATTTATGTAATTTAACCTTTTACACAAACTCCCGTCTTCAAATGTTGTTTTGATTGTAGGCAATACTCATAACATAGGTCTGTCCTGCTGGTTGCATACTGACTGACTATTGGATTCTTAGAATGGATCACATACTTTGATTTTGATTGGATTCATTTGAAACAGAATCGTACTTACTCAAAACGCGAAGAGCCTTTTTTACAGGTGGAAAAATAAAACTATTTGAGTAATATATTATATTATTCGAGTTAAATAAGATACAAAAAAGAAATAAAGGAATAAAATGATAATACATTTAGAGATAAAATATATAACAGAAATAAAAAATGGGTTGTTTTGACTAAAGGAGACACACAGCCAATTGAAATAATTTAGAAGTATTTACATTTATTACAAATTTCTAAAATCAAAGGAGGGTTTTCAGAATTAACTTATATAACTGCATAATATATAATTGCAATCAAATTTATTTAATGTACAAATTGTGTTTAAAACCGAAATAAAAATACTAAAACGATTTAATTAAAAAGAATCAATCAGTTATGGCAAATTTTCAACATAGATTTCATCTTGTATATAAAACTTTGTACTGAAAATATAAAGCTGTATGTAAAAAGAATTAAAGTAATAAAAATACATTTAAAAATTATGTAAAAACTTATTATATGGACTATTAGTTTACGTATATTTATTGTAGAAAGTATATGTACTTGCTAATATAAAAATATATATATGTATGTATAAATTACACATTCTGGCACACAGTGTCTTCAAAATTTTTCTAGATACAGAGTGTAACAATAAATAGTAAAAAATTAAATATATTTAGAAAATAAGAAAAACTAATCATACAACAAATCTATTCATATTCATCTATAAGGGTGTCAAAAACATTTTATGTAAGTGAATTTTTATGTACTGAATTTGTATGGCACTCGTTAACTTAATTCATGGTTTTTATTGATAACGATTCGTAGCTTGTATGTACACTCTGTATACTGGTGAGCTATAAAGAAACTTTTACAAAGAATACTGTATTAAAGAATTCAAATAAACAAATTATGGCAAACAATTTTTTTTATAAATTATAAACATATTTGGCCATAATATTTTGACCAAGAAAAGTGTAAAATGTTTTGCATAATTTTTGCGGTAACAGAAAAACAAATCTTAAGGCGGGTCCACATCAATAAATTTTTTCGTTGTGCGTTGTATTTAACGCAAGATTTTTTGTGTTAAAATGTACGTAGATGTGTACTTAGCACCGCATAAAAACGCACACAAATATTTTATTCACATACAACGAACGCTATCCATCAGCCTGGGGGTTTTTGTATCAACTTCAAAGAGATCTGTGAAGTTTTAAAAAGTTGAATTATTTCGATTAGGAATGTGCCGTCATGTATCCAAATTTAATGAAGAAATGTGCAATTTTCACATTATTGTCTATACTTCATAATAATAAAAAAATAAAAAAAATGTTATTGAACAAAACAATGTTTTCAATATAGCACTTCATCTATGTCCATATTACAAGATTTGGCAATTTCTCTCCATGCATCAATTTTCTTTAGTTTGTTGAAATGGTCTTTATATTTTGAATACCACAGCAACTGATACTTTTCATACTCTTTTATCAAAAGCAATGAATGTTCGGTATTCCACTTCATAATAATTAGTACAATGCTTGGTGATTAACAGAACATACTACGTATCTCTTAAAAAAAATAATGCTCCGCCTGCTCCAAAGAAAATGGATACAAAACAAAACAAAACTTTTCGTCGAAAAATATCGTAAACAAAACAAATTTTTTGCCGCAAATATTTTTGCTGAATTAAAAATTCAATGCACAACACACAATTTTATTGGTGTGGACGCGCCTTTATAAAGATTAAAAATATTTTTTTAGAATTTATTCATAATTGTAAATATTAACACATCAACTAATATAAATAAAATTTAAGGTACTATTCCTAAAATTTTATTTTAGGTACTTATAGATATTATTAACCTAGAAACGGGTACTTTGTCTCTTAAATATTTAAAGTCAACATAGATTTTTATAAGAATTTTATGATTTGTTTTGTTTTATCATGAGATTACTTTTTGTAAAAATGTCAAAAATATAAAAAAATTCCCTCTAGTTTCGTTATAGTAATCTCAATTTAAAGAATCAACGAAATCACATCTGATTCATAATTAAGAAATACTCGAGATTCAGTAGGAAAAAAAAGAATAAACCATTCATTATTAGATGTACGATTGTCTGAAATCTTAGATGATAAATTTGTATATGCTTACAGCCCTTTTAAAATACTGGAATAGTATTGAATTTGCAAAAAAAACTAGTTATTACTGTACAAGAACTGAAACTAAAATTGTGGGAACGTATATAGTAGGAGAACAACAAAATAACTTTGTATATCGTCAATTATTTAAAAATGATAAGACACAAAGTACCAGCTAAAAAAAATCAAATTTGGTCATTTCGTTTTACGTTATTTTATAACAACAAAAAGGTTTGTATATTTGACAATATGTTTTCTTTATTAGTAAAAACTGGGGACACTGAAATCTGAGAAATCAACCAAACTTGATTATTTCATTTAATATGTCTATTTTATATTTAAATAATTATTGTAAATGTTAAAATTTTGAGACTAGATTCAAACGTTTTTTATGCTAATCCGTTTACATAGCCTCAAGTATGAATTTGTATTAAATTTATTATTTTTTAAACAAATTAACATAAAAAACCAAATAACATTAAACTACCATGATTAAATACGTAATATGAATTTTTAAAACCACAATTTTTCGTCTTTATATTTTTAGACATTTAGGAAAACATTTTGCATTGAAAAACCAAAACGGTAAATGATTTCGATATATTTTTTTTTCATTTCGTTTTTCAAAATATCGAAAACATTTACGTTTTTTTTTTAAATTAATTTTTAATTATCAAAAAGTTCCGCAATTTTGTTTTGAGATTTTCTTTCGGCGGTGTTATAGTCGATGACGACCCCTTCGCTATTGGGCTGGAGAGCGTCAGAATCTATCTGAAACTTTGCTTCAACTGGCGCCGCCACTAGACTACCGTGCGGGCCCTTTATCATATGTACCACATTCATACCTAAAAGAAAAAAAAAATATATTTTTAAATACAAAATCGATGCTGATTTCTTTATTTTATATAGGTAGCTTTGGTGTGGTTATGAAGCTGTCAATTAAAAAGTGTAGATACTATGCACAATTTTGATAAGCAGATTTAAAAAGAAAATTTTGATAAACAACGGAAAGAAATGAGAAAGAACGAAACAACACAGCTATTACAAGAAAAATAAGACAAAAACTGAAATTAGAAGACGACAATGTTGAAGTTATTAAACTGCAGTCCCTAACACATCTCGACAACGCCACCAGCAGAAGTGTTTACTAGCTGGGAGGCCCCTGAAAATGCACAATGTAGCCTAGTGAGGTGGTGCAATCCACCTTCCCCACCTTATAAATACAGACCATATAAAAGAATAAGAAAATAAAAGACAAATCGATGGACAAGATAAAATGAAGAAAATGTTCTCAAAGAACGAATAAAATGACTCAAAAACGGAAGATGACATGGAAGAAATATGTAGAATTAATGACATACAAGAAATACAAAATAAAAAGTACTGAATCAACTGTTTTATAGTATAAATAAAACTAATTTTTGTTACCTACTTAGAAGAACTTAGTTTTCAATCACCTAATCTACTTCTTCCAAATTTGATATGAATTCCAGTTTGGTATACAAAAAATATATCCATAACCATCCAAATAAACCTAATAAAATTATTAGAAACCAAATGAGGCGTATAATATTTTTATATAGTACCATGTTTTGTCGGTATGGTTAGAAAATGTCAAAATTTTTAATGAAAATATAAGGTATCCATAGAAATAATAGAAATTATAAAGTAAATGAATTAAATTTCTAATGCACGTCATAAATAAACTCATGAAAGTAGACGTTGCCACGTTGCGGCCAAATTTGAGGATCTCAAGAAACATTTAATAAAAAACTAATGTTTAATACGCTAGTTCAGTGATGATGTAATTATGGTTCCACTGACAATTAAAGTGACAGTAAATTTTTTGAGTGCGTTTTTTTTTCATTTTGTTTACCTAAATTATATCGTTTCTTCACTTTTATAAATATATTCCTAAAGTAAGTAGATAACATGCATCAAATATATAATCGTTTAATTACCAATTACATACCTTTAAACTATTTTTTATGACCTGTAAATAATATTTAGAAATAAACTAAAAACAGTAAAAATGTATACGTCAAATTTATTGATGTTTTTGTTAAAAGTTTGGTTAGAATTAAATGTTAGTGGAACCAAAATGACATCACACCGAACTAGCGTATTGGAACTCCATCTTTTGACACTTTAAATAATTAATTCATTAAACCTTATACAATTTTAGAAGCTTTCGGAAGTAGTTCTCTCAATATAAATAAATAGAATAAAAATAAACAACAAGTAAAGCTTTCAGAATAAGAATCACTATCATCATTAAAATCATTAATTACAGGTAAAATATGTTCCCGTTCAAATATAACTTCACGGTCCCAACATATCTGAATTTTTTTTTTCAGTATGACTGATACAATTAGACCAGATTTGGGGGTTACAGTATGTAGTGCTTCTCTTTACCTATACATACTTAAACAATTTTAAATTAAGTTGCCGTGCCTACCAATATGTCGGTTACAATAATTCTTGGCAATGCCCCATATCATTTCAATTGGGTTAAATATACAATAAGGAGATAACCGAATAACTGTGTGGCCATATTGTTATGCAAGTTGATCTACTTTATAAATTTTAGGAGGTTTATTTCTGAAAACTTCTGTTTTGCAGTAAGAGTATGAAGTGTGGCAATTCCAGTCTTATTTTTTTCGCATCTAATTAAAGGGTGGGAAAGGTAACAAATAGATATTTAGAATAAGCTGCATATCTAGTACAGACTGATTTAAATATATTTATTTACGAATTTTAAACCCTATTATGATAAGCAGAACAACCACAATCCGATAGTGAAGAACACAGTGTTTAATTTCTATGATGCTATTAAAGTCTGACAGCTCCGTCTCGTCCTAATTATCGTTTGTAATCTTTCTATTGGCTTATTTTTGTTTAAATACCAGTGAAGGGGAGGGCATTGCTAAACGACTTAATACTTGTCATTAGCTTTGATAAGCATTAAATAATAGATGTATTAATTTTACCTGTTTGGCTTAATTGCGGTTATATATGGGGTTATGTATTGACCTTATTTAATTTTTTCAATGTCCGGAAATTATCTAGCGAAAAGTATCGATTAAAGCCCGTTATTGTTAACTTCTTAGAATAATAGGTTGGTATCAATTTGAGCTCCGGAATTTTCGAATCTCCATCTGAGACTACTCGTGATCTTTTAACGCCGTATCAAAGGGTTGTGGAGCAAACCACATTATTAAAGCTGGCACTCAAGTATTTCCGAGTTGAAGGCGTCACAAGAAAGGATTATTTTCTTATCGGTAAAAAAGCACCTTAAAAAACATGCAACTGTTATCTACCTCCGAGACTACGAGACAAATCCTGTAATAACTTAAAAATTTAATTTCTTACATGCGCATTAATCTTGCAATCGCTGTAATGTACGGCATGGTATTAATGCACTGCGGCCTAAAAGATCTATATTGTTTCCAGTGTCAGATTGGGACCACCAGGGTCTACTGGTTCAGGAGGGAGAAGGGCCCATCTATCAATTCTTTTTTCATGGTCTGATTCATTCAAGAAGACACTGATGCTGTTTTCCGAGGTTGTCACGTATTACGGGGTGGGCCCACTGCCTGAACGAGGACCCACTGCCTGAACGAGGGCCCACTGCTTGAACGAGGGCCTACCTCCGACATTGGTTGTGCCCTCTTCTGTCGCTAATGCAGTAAGGGATCCTTTGAATCATATCTTCTCAAGGAAATGTAGAATTTGGAGTGGCTCCAAATTAGGTAGATCGCCCTTCATTGGCTTCTAGAGTGCTGCACATTCAATCATAATATGAATGCACAAGTTACTCTGAGATTGTTGAGATAAATTATTGAGGACAAAACCTCGTTGTATAATCATCGGTTATAGTTGAACGTAGTTTTAAAAATGACATTTGTACAGTATATATTACCGCCAGTTAAAAATTAAACGCCTGTTAGTTGAACTGAGTTTACAGCATTCTTTGTACAACCCGCCCTAACAATTGTAATGATATTCATTTCTTTTTGGGATCTACAATTTTTCCATTTAAAGTTTTTAGCTAAAATCACGTTTCGGAAGTCAAAATGCAGTAAAACCAATAACAAACAACTACTAGACCAATTTTGTTAAGGACAAATTGCAAGTATTCTTGCTGTTGCCAAATTATTATGGGAGAGTCATGTTACAAGGATTGTTTACGCACAAAAGGCTGGCAAAATGATTTTATGGAAGTATATTTACATTCTTAATGTCAATTAATATTGTCTGTTTAATGTTTTTTTTTCTGGTTGCTACCATTACTGTAGCTAAAGATAATTTAAAGATAAATTAAAGATAAGTACCTACATTATTTATTTTACAATGCGGCAACTGTTAAATATATTTTGTATCTTAGTAACATCTACCTTTATATTTATTAATGTCTAGTTAGTAAATAATTGATGTCACTTATATTCTGTCATATGTCAATTGTCGATCTTGATGTCTTGTAAAAATTCTGTCACGACAAGTAAAATTCGCTTTGTATAAAAACTCATTAAGGATTAAATACATTTATTTAAACCTTTCCATAAACCATATTAGGTCTTTTCCTTTGCATCGAAAGTGTAGCACTGGGCTACACCAATTCTGAAAATATCGTTGCATATATACAAATTGTATGGATGGAACGATATTTTCAGAAGTGACGTATCTTAGTGCTACACTTTCGATGCAAAGGAAAAGACCTATTAGGCAACGGTGTAAAGCAGTAATCATAATTTTACAAACCGATTCATTTTTAAAACGCGTGCTCGAACCTCTGATAAAGAAACTCGCACCAACAATCCCCACTTAATTTTGCAGGCATCTCGATCTTTCTAATGCGACAGCTTTGTCTGACTAACATAGAACTTAACCTGAATACTAGCAATAAATAAGAGTTTCATAAAAAATGAATGGATTAGTCTAGTATTCTTTCATCGTTGAGTAAAACTGATTGGTAACTTCGGTGCACTCTAACTTTTTGGACACGAACTAAAGAAAAATCAGCAAATAGTTTTACAAATTTTTTGATCTCACACTTTTTCTTCCGATCAATAGGAATAGAGTAAAACAATTCCCAAATTTTTTTAAGATGGCAGATGAGCCAATTTTGGGATTTTACCTAATTGTTTCCTACATACCTATGATAAAATATTTTTAGGTATGAGTACCAACGTCCTTGACTATACGCACTATTCGTTCAAAATGTTACTTAAACCGGCCCTGCACACTGTGCTTCATTATATTGTTTACACATTTGCACAAAAACAAGTGTTAATTTCGATATTCCAAGTTGTCTATTTTTTTTAATCTATGCATATAATTAATGATTCGATTTGATACGAATGCGAACAACTTTATTAAACAATTTCGTTCTTATAAATTCGTTCTTAGTCATTTGATTAGTTGTAAAATGTTAATGATAGAGAATCGGACTTTTGCGGTAAAAACTAGTTTCCATTTTGCGTCATGGCGTGCGAGATGCGATCCTATGTGGGTTCGTCTGTCTAGAGTTCTAGAGTCTAGAAAAGTCGTCTCAGCGAGATAATTTTTTGATAGACTGATGTAGAATATCCGCTTATTCAGTTTCCAGTTCTATAATTTCTTGTTTATTTAAAAAAGAATGTTATCCTTTTAGTTTCTAAAAATCTCTATTTTTGGTTCCTAAAAATCTCTTCCTTTTGGTATAACCATTGTGTAATAAGTTCCTACATAATTAACTTTCTATTCGTCAACAGAGTCGTTTCTTGGGTTTCTTCGGTAGCTATGTCTTTTTTCGAGTCTTTTTTACAATAATTTAAATAAAATTGACAATTATTATTCAGTATCAATAGGCATTGTGTAGATCAGAATTATTTTATGTTTTATTCCATATTTTAAAATGTAGTCAATTTAATCATAGAATAATACATAATAGTAATAATGTTAAAATACATAAAAATATCTTAAAATTTATGGAAAAATAAAAGCAATCAATCCAAACAGGCCCCCTTTAGACAGTGGTCTTGAGATTATGAATTATGGAAAAGCAACTTGTCATTTTAATCTAAATTTAAAATAATTGGGCCTCACTAAAACAAATAAAAAACATACAATATTGTTATTGTTTAGTCTACAAACGTTCAAAAATAAAAATTATACTTATAAAACAAGAGACGAAGAAAAATCTTAGAAATATGTCAATATTCTTAAAAAATGTAATAAATTGTTATGGTATAACACTAAAAGCGTCTGTATTCAAGTATAAATCGAGCGTAGCTTTTCAGTTAATCATCGACATTGCTACTGAAGTGAGCCAGTGTTCGTGATACATATTAGACTTTTTTGTCTCAAATAAATAATAAAGCTATTTCTATTTAGCGAAGATTGGCTAGAATTAAAGGGGGACATCTTCGTACATATCCTCAACGTCACATATGTCATTCCCCTCCCCTCCATTACTCTAACCAATGCAATTTAAATAAGGAAACTACAAAGTATGATACATCATTCAAGAGGTAACTTTATAGAGAATTAATTGCATTGATTTTGAATTTAGCACCCTGTGGGATAAAATAGTAGTTTGTACAACAAGAGTGGATATGATGGCCATATCGCACGAAGATGAAATTTGAGCACGACGCCGTAGATAAGCTAATATCCATGTGGGTGTAGAAAAAAACTTTTTCCTACGACCACTTAGGAAAGTGACACATATCACACTATATAGTCCTATGGAAAGTGCCCTATATCACACGCGTATGAATAAGAATTTACTTTCCACCCGAGTGAGAATATGTTACTTTCCTCAGTAGTTGTCACAAAATGTCAAACACCTAATTTCTATTTTGATCTATGTAATGTCCATATTAATACTAAAATCGATATGATTGTTAAATTATTGAAATTGTTGTAAATTAGATCCTAGATATTTATCTTTAACAATTATTATTAAAATAATTTTAAAATAATGTTTGCTCTTTATTCTGGTTAAATACATAACTGATTAGATCATTCAATTGACACAAGGCCTATTAGCTCAGGTGGTTAGGACGTCGAACTTATCAACTTTGCCATTTTTCGACCGCGTTCAAATCTTGGCGAGGCAGAATTTTGTTTTGTTTTTTTTGTTTATTTTTGTTTTTTTTTTATTTTTTTTTAGTTTTTTTGTTTAGAAAATATAAAAATTGAATAAATACAATTATTGTTGATTATTTTTTTAAATACTTTTTAATTAATATAGTAATAATAACCTTGGTTTTACATTTTTTTGATGACATTATTTTGTGGTCGTAGGAAAAATATTGTCACTTGTGTGAAAAGTGATTTTTCACACTCGTGTGATAGTCGCACTCGGCTTGCGCCTCGTGCGACAATATTTCCCACTCGTGTGAAAAATGTCACTTTCCACACTCGTAATGTAATATACTATTTTCTACACTCATATGGATATGAGCTATTCTACGCACAGACTACAAAAAGTATGCCGTTGCGTTCAACTGAACGAATATATTTCATATCCAGTCTACCTAGTAAGAACATGCACAAAATTGAAATTTACCAATCACAGTTCATATTTTTATCACCCGGCTGCTATTATTATTTTTAAATTTTAAATAAGTGAAAATTCTGTGAAACTAATCGTCAGTACATTTATTAGTAATTGATATTAAATATATAAAATGAGTTATTCTTGTATAGAATCGATAAATATTTATATTTTTATTTTGTCTATATTTACAAATAAATCATAAATTTTAATTAATTTAATTAAGAGTATTAACACTAACATATTAGGTGTGTCGATGAAGCTGAGACTAGCGTATTTGGGTGTCATGCTAGAGGTCTCGGGTCCAAAGATTGGAGACTAATTAAACTAATTAAATCTTTTGTTTTCAAGTTTATTTTATTTTACAAATTAGTAAAAGTCATAAATTATTGTTTAGTTATTTTATCAAAATTTTTAAAATTTTTAGATTTTCGTTATTGGGTCGTAGAAAAAATATACTGTACCACTTGTATCCGTATCGCACTCAAATGATTGAGCACTCCGAATATGGCGTCGCGTCGTGCTCAAACTTCGTCTTCATGCGATATGGTCATCATATCCACTCTTGTTTCACAAACTATTATTACGTATTATAAAGTGTGACACTTCTATTAAAAGCTAATTTTATTCGTCTCAAGTGTTACACTTTACAATACGTAACTGTTTTTAATCCGTTAGAGGACGCTAAAATCAAAAGGAACGCGATGAATAATCATATTGCTGAATTCTCTATAAAATTATTTTTTCAATGATGTCTCACACTTGGTACTTTACATATTTAAATTGTATTGGTTAGAGTAACAGAAGGGAATGAGTGACGTATGACAGTAGACGATATGATAGAAAGATGTCCCGCTTTAATAAAAAATTGACGTATCCGAATGTTTACTGCTGGTACCGAACAATTATGTACACATTAAAAACTTACCAATGAGGTCCTCTTCCCCGACATGGTGATGTCTTTGATGATGCTTCGAGGCACTCAACACGTCAAGTTCACCTGACTGCACATTGTCATGTTTTGCTTCCACTGAAGGTAAAATCCCCACCTCATTAGGATGCATTTGAATCCTTTCAGAGCTCGTTTCTGAACTTTCTTCGTCTCCATTCTCAGTATCTTCATCCGACGAGCTCTCTATCGACTTCGGTAAAATACCCATCGCTATGTGAGTACCTTTCAACCCCGTATGGGCTCCTTCTAACCTAAAATTAATAGGTAAATCTGGCTGGGACAAATCTTCTTCTATTTTTATGTTGTTTTCTCTGTTTTGCTTCAAAAATAATCGGTACAAGTCCGAGCTATCATCACGTTCAATTTCATTCTGGTGACTTTCGAACCATTTCTTGTACTTCTGCTTTTTGATGTCGTTGTCAGTCGTCAAAGTAATATGCTGCGTGTTATTAGTTTCGAGGATGTCTGGTATTTCTTCGCTGGCGCTTCTGTTGGAGTTTTTTTCGATTGTGAACAGATTTTGTGGTAGTTCTAGTGTGTTTCCATCTGTTATTTCACAATCTTCCGTCCGAATCTTGTCGCAACTCTGACAGGAGCAGTTGGTAATTATCTGGACGCGTTTCTGTAGAATCGGCGTTTCTACGTTTTTGTCTATTTGCTTCAGGTTCACATGGTAACATTTGATTTCTGACGGTTGACAGCTATCGCAATACGGACCTGAAATATGTCTAAAGTTTATACGAAAAGGAAAATTAAAAAAATGTGCTTGAATAGGGCACGCTTTGGTACAATAATAATTCGTTTACTTCTACCTATTAGTTCACCGGGTTCTGCAGGCTGCGTTTTAGGTATCGAGTAGCTGTAGCACGCTCCCACGCAAACATTATTATCTATTGTCACGGACTCGTAACCAGGGGATGCAATTATTTGTTGGATGGGGGTGAGCTGGCACCAAGAGTGTTTTTCTGGATACAGAACTATGTTGTGAACCTGTAAAAAAATATTTAGCAATTAATGTTAAGGTGCGTATACTTATACACACCTTAACATCAATCAAGTGTTTTCAAAAAAAAATTAAACGCCCTTTACTTAAATTATAGAATTATGATTTTAGCCCTTTTAGAACCAAACTAAATATTTTTTTAATAAAAATGATCGCCCTTCGCATATGTACGCCTATGAATAAAATTCAGGTCGGATAAAATTGCATGTGACGCTTTCTGCATATTTTGCTCTTTAGGCGCTTGTGTATATAATGTGTATAATTACTATTATCATGTGTGTAGGCAAAATTACAACGTAGGTACATACCTTGTGCTCTCGCTCCGTCGATATACCCAGAAAACCAGCAACCAGCAATGTAAAAGTGATTCGCTTGGCGCTCCTGAAAATAAAAGAACGTAATAAGTGGGTGGGCATTTTATAGAAATAAATATTTACAGATTTCGCAATCCTTGCAACCACCAGGGACATTGGAAATGATAATAACTTTTTTAATTTTTGTAACCCTCATTTCTACATATTTTATTTTGTAAAATTTAAATAAGTAGTTTGTTGGACAGGAAACAGTCGAAATGTAGAACTTTTATGTATACTTCATAAATTACTTTATCGGCCATGGCTTCTAAAGTTAAGTGTATAAAGTGTTTCATACCGATTAGAATTCTCAAATCTGAGGTAGGTTCTTTCATATACTATTTTTGATTTTTTTGGAATCAAATTCAAAGACGCCAAATTTGGCGCGTCTCTAATTTCTGTGGTCGTGCCCTTAATGAATTCTTCGTCACTACTCATTTTTGTAATTTTTTTTGAGACCAATTTTTAATAAGTTACCTAGGTAATTAAATTAATTTGACATGAGCACAGTGACACAACAGAAATTGTTCAATTGTTTTCATAGCCAACTCAGTTAATGAAAAATTATTGGAAATAATATCATTTCAGATTTAATTTTCTATATATTTTTTAATATATAAGCACATTCGAATAAAAAACATTGCATGAGCTTCTCGTAGTCGCCCAAAAAACTCAACTACTATTAGGCATTCCAAACAAATGGATTGCCAGTGGGAAGGTTTGGTATATCTAAGGGTGGCGACATACGGTGTATTCTATCTACTTTACGTAAAATCATGAATAATGGATTACATTTAAATATTTTATGTCAAACACAATACAAATAATATTTAAAAAAACCCACCTATACATTTCTTCATAAATTGGCAGGCTTGGCGACTACTACTTTGAATAAAAATAGTGTCCAAGTTGCAAGACTATGTCGCTACCCCCTTAGATATACAAGAATTTCCCACTGGCACCTATTATTGTTTGACAGGTCGTTGGAATGCCTAATACTAGCACGAATAACACACCGAATTGAACAAAATTATTACATTCCATAGCTTATTTGATGGTTTATATAAAAACAATACGTGGCAAACTTTTAATGTTATTATTTTAACTCCATGAAAAATATTGTGCAGTTACATTTTAAAGGTCAAATTATTCAAAAACGATCCACTCTATCGCGTTTAAACAAAAATACCTTTTTTTGTGGGACAAACTATGGAAATTTGTTTTTCTTAATCAATTTTTCGGAAAAGATAAAATAAAGAATACCCAGAACACCTCTTTAAAATAGCCCCTAAAAATGATTTTTTCTTTTGTTTTACCATTAAATTAAATAATATAAAACTTTTGAGTTTTTCCAAAAAATTTGCTCCGATTGGAAGTTAGGACCGAAAAACTGTTTTTTTTTTTTTCATTTCCCTTATTTCAATGTTTCGGACATTAGTTTATAAAGCAAACTGGCCTTAATTGTCATTGTTCCATCACCTCCTAAAATATTTGTATTCCTTTTTGACTCTTGTATACCGCTCTGTCTCAAAAAACAAGGAAATACAAATAAGTAGGTACCTAGTACGTTCTAATTGAAATTTAACTTGAATACAACACGAAGCCGACTACGACAGTGTTTAGGTATCATGACTATGGGCATATTGGTCCCACCAATTAGCTTATGTGACAGTACCAATTATCATCACACAAGAAATAATCCGGCCCGAGGCTCGAAACAACAAGCACAAGGTGTCCCAACCAAAATAGAAAACAAAACTGAGAGCGTTCGTTATAGTGGTTTTTTCTGATTCTTTTATGTTATTCAGTGGGCGCTTTAAATCTGAGCCATCGCCATTGGTTCTAAAAAGTTTACTATAATACGTTTATAGATTCAGTTAGTATGTCCATTTTAGGAACTTTAGATTTAACTTTAGTGATTTAAATATCAGAGTTTTTAAAACGAAATGCATTTCTTATGGAGCTTATTCTATGCACTGCTACTAATTTCATTGCTTGTTAACTGACTTTTTTTATATCACTGTAATTCTTAAATGCCAAATTAATTATTTTTTTAAAGAATTGTATTTAAGTGATTTTTTTAGTGTGATAAAGTGAAAAAATTGTTCTAAGTTGAAATAAATGTGATTTTACATGCATATTAAAAGAAGTGTAAATTACAAAAATAGTACCAATGAAGTAAAAAAGGGAGTTGAGAAGATGCTTTTGGGTCAAACCCACATTCAAAGGACGTTCTTTTTACTCGATGTTAAACTCTTGTTATAGAAATAAAATTTAATAATCTAATTAAACTATTTAATAATTTGGTTTAGGTACTGGTCATCAACCTTCATTTTAGTTTCCCCATTTTCTATGATATCTATCTATGCAGATTCCTTTTTAATTCATGTAACAAAATTACATAATGAATTCACAGACATCGAATAATACTGTAAAGATTGTTTAATTTAAAAATCGTTTATTTAAAACAGTTTATTTATAATTTATTTATAACGTACTAATTAATTAATTTAATACTTAAGCACTATTATAATTCAGACTTCTAATTTATTTTTACAATTTATCTTTAGTTGGCAACATTTAATTGAAACAAACTTATAACGACAAAATCGCGCTACTTATGTAAACATGTAACGGCCTAGAAAGAACCAATCCTGCTAGAAGAATCTCGAAACATTCCTCAACGTGTCGGACAGCATACAGAGAAAATTTCAGTATTGTCTCGATCATGAGTCGGGTCTCGATGGACAACGCAAGACTACATCGCGGTAAAGATAAATAGGGAACAGAGTCGGTTCAGGCGATCGCACGACAATACAATTAGGTTGCATATAAGCAATATCTAATAGGTATTTATGCAACCAGTTACGAAATGCCTTATTTTATGTGAATATTTGCGAGACGAGCAGAGCGAGGTCATGCAACATGAACGAGTTATATAAAACGGCATTTCGTAACGTGTCTAATTTTGACTGACTATTTATAAAATTGTGTTTTGGTAAAACATTACTGACATCTAGGCAACCAATATTACTTTCTTGTATTGTTAGTTGCATATGCATAACTTCACTCATTTCATTGAAATTGTAGTATGTCTATATTGCTTGTTAAAGTTATTTAGTTTTTCAAAAAGTGGGTTATTTTGTCGTGTACTTTTTTAATTATTTTGTTTTGATTTAGAATGGTAAATAAGGACAAAAAAACAGGTTGTAAGTTTAACGAAATTCTATTTTTATGAGTGAACCTGTCATTCTTTAATAAAAAACTTTCAATAATAATGTATAAAATATATTGATTTTAAAAACAAAAATGGTTTATTTTTATTTCTCTTCTTTTCGCAACTGGTGACATAATGAATTTTTCGTAACCAGTTTCATAATGTTGAACATTACGCAACTGCTTACGTGAAGTAGATCATTTTGACATTCGCTTACAAGTGCAGTAAATCATACGAGTAGAAGGAAATGAGCATTTCTTGCGAACTGAACTATAATCTATAAAATTGACATGACATCTTTGTTTTTGATAATTATTCGAATGTTTGATTGCATGGCACATGTGAAAATATTAAAATATGTTTTTTTTTTTGTATTCAATGCTTCTTCTGGTATTATTTCGGTCAAGATATAAGAAAATGGTTATCAGCAGCTTAAAGATAAGTATGTACTTCTTTACACTGAAAAGAAATTATTTAGGTACGCATTATAGATAACATCTAATTTTCATTACAAAATGAAAAATGCCTAGTAAGAATTTATATTTTTCAAAGGAAAAAGTAGGTACGTCTTTATACCACTAAAAAAAATTTAAAAACTTTTTTCCAAATAGGCATATTTTTATCACACTTTCATTTGAGGTGACTATTTTATAAAATACGCTCATTGTATTAAAATTTAATAACCCAGTCCACGTTAATTACCAAACTTGATAATCAGTAAGCCGGCACTCTTTTTTTGAGTTTTTCTAAATTGTGAAATTGTATATTAATTTCAATATTTGTATTCTGCAAGGTTCAAGTTAAAAGGTTTTTGAATCGTATGATATGTGGCGACCATGGCAACAAGATCAACCATCAACAAGTCAGTTTATTGTAGATTGGGTAGATGTTCTAGCAGAACCTATTTCGCAAAATATAGATCACACAGTTAAACTCAAAAGGCAACATTTATCAGAAGACGCTAAAAATGTTATTTTAACTGTTTTTAACCGGCTTTGTAGTCGAGGAATGCCCCGAAAAGATGCTATCCAGGAAACAGTGTTTCTAACAAATACTCCTCAGGCTACAGTATACAAAATCATAAAACTAGGTCCGGCAAGGAGACGAAAAAGAAATTCAGGCAATTCCATACTAATCAATTCACATCAGTTAGCGCCAATATGTGAAACAATCTACAGTATGTACACACTAAACATCATTAGCAGAATTAAAAAAGAAACACATCCTTGAGGTAAGTTCCGTAGAACACTTGGAATATTTTTAAAAATCATGGTTTTTAGATGTAAAACAGTAAATAAAAGACAAACAATAATGGAATCTAGTCATTTAGTAAAGTGGAGAAAGAAATATATATCGAAAATTTGGGAGTATCACAATGAAGGAAGGCACATCTATTACTTGGATGAAACATGGTTTGGTAGCCACGATACTGTTCGTAAAGCCTAGACAAACGATAGTTGGAAATGTAAAACGGTAGTTCCCCATTCTAGAGGTTTGGATACTACACTGCGGTGGATAAGAGGGCTGGGTAAATGATGCATTATTGTTAAGCTCAAAACACATTAAAGTTAGCTCTTTAGATTATAGCCAGGATATCGAAGGAAATCTTTTCGAGTCTTGGTTCGAAGAAAAACTGTTGCCAGCACTACATCCAAACAGTGTGATTGTAAACTAGTAAGATTCCAACCAAATGTTCTACCAAAGAAAACCTCAAAAAATTTTTAATTGAAGAAGATTTATATTTTGAAGAGCATTATACGAAGGCCCAACTTATAGAAGTTCTAAATACAAAAATAAGTCGCTAAGGAACA